TCTATCTATCTATCTATCTATCTATCTATCTATCTATCTATCTATCTCTATCTATCTATCTATCTATCTATCTATCTATCTATCTATCTATGTTTGTAGGCATATATACTGGACACAAGATACATAATAGTTTGGCATCTCACCTCGACACAAAAAAGCCACTGAGAATTGTGAGATTATGGCAGAATATAAATGTAATAAATAACTATCACAAGGTATCTCCAAAAAGAGATGCAACATATGGGCAACAATTTAGCATGAAAAGTGCCATATTCTATCTATATATTATACAATAAATACTGTTAATAAACTCTGAATTATATCTTGAATGAGAAGAAAAACACTGCTGGAGCAAAATTTAATCAAATCTGATTAACAGAATGGAAGTTTCCAAATCCTGCAATGTCAGCATAGCACTTTGTTCTTCATTCAGAATGCTGCATCTAGTTACATGTACAATTTAGAAATATGGAGTATATAAAACAAGGGTTGGTAGAAGATGGAACAGGACTTATTAGTAGGTTTCTGGGTGATTTGAAGTAGACAGGCCAGAATTTATGACTCCCAGTTGTTTGCAATGGCAATAGTCACTTTTTCTTGTCTTATTACTGCTGATAATAAGGTTGTGAGAACATGTATGTGTGAAAGAACTAATAGGCAATTAGGTTCTGATGCTCAAAGTATCTGGGCTTAGCATTCAAAAGATACATCTCCATCTAATAATTTTTTTAGATTTCATTTTAATCCCACCTTCATTTTATAAATAACTCAAGGTGGTAAACATATCTAACATTCCTTTTTCCCAATTTCCCACAGCAACCTTTGTTTTTTAGGCATGGTTTTTATGCCTAAAGCAGGACTAATGTTCATAATCCCCTGGTTTCTAGCCTGATGCTAGAAGTACGAGAACAAATTGGTTTTAGGACTCTAGTAAAAAAGATTTCACAATAGTGAAATCTGACCATTCCTTATAGAGAATTTGAAATGAATTAAGATATGAGCAGAGAATATTGAAAACAAGTCTTTTGAAGAGAGGCTGGAGTAACTTAGCCTAAGCTATCTCAGAGGGCAAGCCCAAATCTAGTGGGTTTAATTAATAACTTTTGAGTGAACATTTAGGTGGATTCTTCACAGTGAGAGAAATCGACAAATGTTCCAGAGGCCGAGGAGGGAAAAAGTCTATCTATCCAATCTTCTGAGGCAGAAAATTATCTATAGTTCAGGATTTCCCTCATACAATGTGGGCCCAGGTTTAATGTCATTTTCATCCTATGCTTTAAAGAATTATCTTAATAGAATGTCACTTAAAAATAATTACTACTGTAGATAAAGATATGGCTAATATTCATACCCTCCAACAGACTTTTCCCTAAGGTTTTAATTTTCAAAAACTCAGTGATGCTTTGCTTAGTTAGAATGTGATCTAAGGGGAAAAGAAAGTAATGGAGGTGTAAGAAATAAAGAATGAGACAGCAAGGTGAAAGTGCAAGCTTCCCCCCCCCTTTTTGTGTCAGAATTTTGGGTCGCCCAAGTGGTACTTGTAGTAAGCTCAGACAAAACAATTTTTCTTTTAGAATAATACATTGTAAATATTTTTTTTAAATCTGCAATGTGTTTAAAGTCTTATTTGATCCTCCCATTGCATTAGCCTCACCCCCTGATCATTTGTTCTTCTCTCAACAAGTATCCACTGCTCATTCTGTTTATTCCTCAAAGATTATGAGATTTCCTCTCCTTTTAGGCTTCCTTCTGTAATGATGTCTATTATGACTTAAAACCTGACCTGCTGTAGGCACCCTCCGGCAGAACATGGAATATAAATCAAATGAACAACTCTGGGATTTCCTGTGCTTGTTTCTATCTCCTTATGTATGAAGGTGTTTAGGTTCCCATGAGGTTCCATGCCTGGATAAGTTTGCTATTTGTGTCAGAACACTGGGCTGGACCCCCTGATAGAGCATTTATTCTCTCAATGGACTATTCTCAGTGCTATTTCTATAGGAATAAAAGTTCAGCTCTTTCTCATAATCTTTCCATAAATTCTATACTCAAGCTTTGACACTGTAACATGGGATGGATGCCAGTTTTCACCAGCAATTCTCAATGCTATGGGCTCTGTATCTTGATCAGACAATATTCTAGTGAAGCCTCCTCCATCCTGATTCAATTATCTACCTGGAAGAAATGTGTTTCAGGTTGGGATATTTTAATCAGAGAACTGTGAGTAGTATATATTGAAAATTTCAATTTTAGGAATGTGATCTTTAAAATTGCATGGATTGGAAAGGCTGCTAAAATGTGCACAACCTTCCTGCTTATTAGGAGTATGTTGAGTAGCTTCCTCTTCTTAAATTTTCTCAAGAAGGATGCAGGGTTTAGACTTCTCCAGTATTCATCTATTTAAAAAATGTATTTTTTTGCAAAAAAAAGGGGGAAGAAACAAAATGTCTGCCCAATTACAAAAGCAACTTAAGTTGGCAAATGGGTTTTGTTTCACTATTGATATATCAGTGTTCTGCTGAGGCAGGTTATGATGCATGCATCTTTCTGTAAGAATGTGCAGGGGGCCAGGACTCAGGAAAAATGCTCTCAACTTGAAGCACTGGTCTCATGGAAGAAGCATTCTGATGCTCATTCCACTTTCACCTATGGCAAGCAGGTTTTGTAAGTTTTTATTTCTTTTCAATAAATACATGATACATTTGTTTTAGCAGGGCCAAAAGAGGTAACTGTCTCTCCCAAGCTATTTTCATAAGTCTCCAAAGTTGTTCTATGTTTAAAGTTGTGAACATTTTATTCCAGAACACATTATGAGTGTGTGCACTGTTTTCCAAACCCCACTGACAATTTTCCTTACGATTCTCTAACATTGACTTTCCTCACTTTTCAATAAACACTGGTTGTATTTTATTTTGCATTGCTTTTCAAATGGGTTTGGCTTTTTCTTTTAATGGTAAGAACTTCATTTTCAACATAAATATTACGTGGGCTGAAGTTGAAGTATATACTACACAGACCCCCTTCCTTCTTTTTGAAGCAAAAGTTGGAATTTGTAATTTGATAATGCAACTAACCTTTTCTAATCTCATACTTTCCAGATGTATTGATACTACAAGGATTCCCAGAAAACATGTTCAATTGTGCTATTTCAGAATTTGGGAGTTATAATCCCAAATATATCTGTAGAGTATCAAGTGGAGAATTTGTCCACTAACATAAATTCAGGTAATCAATATTTAATTCACCTGAAACTAATAATATTCCTTCTGCGTCCTTTAGTCTGAATTTGAGGCACAGTTACTTGAGTCACACTTGTAACTATGTTGGCATAGAGACAAATAATCTGTTTACTGAAGTTAGCCAGGGTTTTGAAATAAGCATTTCACTCTGTTATATTCTAATTTCAATTCAGAAATGCTCCAATGAAAAGATTTCTTTTAAAATTGATAACTGAAAGTAAAAACAAAATTGTACAATTGATGGCTGAGAAAGCACAGTATATGCATAACTTAAGATAAAAATACTGGGGGGAAAAGGTACCAGTTTGTTTCCTATAATAAAAATATTATTAACCTAACTCAACTGTCCACTGTTGGGCAAACACAGGAAAAAAACATCTTCTTGGTTCAGAAAAGACTATTAAGAGCATCTTCAGAGATTGCCTTGCAGACCAGGTTTGTGAGTCTCTATATACTAAATCGTACTTTTTTCCTACTAGATAAATCTGAAAGAAGCAATTGATAATGCTTTTTAAGAATTGTGTAATGATTAATTTGGGGCAGGTGGGGGTGGGATCAGCCTACAAACATTCTGCTTTCATTTAACCAGTCAATTCAAGAATGAAAGATATATGGTAAAAGAAAACTGAAAAAAACAGACAGGATATCTAGATCAGTCCTTCTTTATCATGTGTCATAAACATTGCCTAGTTCTGACATAAATTCAGGGTCGCACAAATGAATTGCATTATGTTTTAAGATATAAACATTATCCTGAGGTGCCTAGTTCTATGACAGCTGATTCTTTTACCAAGTGATAAACTTGTATACTTTTTATACAAGTAAAAACCAAGGAACAAGCTGCATGTGCACCAGAAGGCCTCTATTATATGGCCTTCATATCCATGTTTAATGTAATATATATGCATTTGTAAAAAATCTAATCTATGCATACATGTATATAAGTTTACTACACTGCCTATATCAACTTTTATTTTTCTTATACTGCTATGTTTATAAGGCCACCTTTTTCATATGACACAACACACAATGTTAATTTGGGGACGGATGAAATTAATCTTTAGTAAATAACTTCTCCCCAAAAGATTAACATAAATACTGTGCTGTTTTGACACCAAGTTAAATCATCTCATGGAGTAATCGAATTAGGCAATTTTAAGGCACTTGGATTACCCTAACTGGTTAAAAACCTTGTTTAATAAGAGTAATGAAGAAACCCAATTTTAATAAATATGCAGCATTTATATAGCACTTTTGTATATTCAAAACATTTCACTTATTGTATATTGTAATTGTTACAATATTCCCATATGGCAAGAAAGTGTTGCTCCTATATTTCTGATGTGAGGCTGAAACCAAGCGTGGCTTGCCCGGCAGTGTTTAGCAAGTCCATGGCCACACCAAGATTTGAACTGATAACACTCCAGCTCACCTCCTTTAGCCACTAATTTATACATTTTTTTTTCAATTAGAGCCTTAATTTGTGGACTGCAGACCCTAAATCCTCATCCCCTCTACATTAGTCCATCACTTGTCCTCTAGCCATATAAAGTACTGACACAGTTTGTCTTCCCCCACCCTGGTATTTATAAATTCAGAGCTTTTGCCTGTACATATAAACTGGGTGATAGCATTTCAGATCTTGCGATGAATACTCCCATAACACGCAGAAAAAAAAATTGATTCAGTCTTACAGAACGTTGGATGCCACTCTTTGCTTGGCCATCATCCTTCTTCCACTGAAGACTCTGATCTGTACCACTGTAAAGGTGGCAAGTGCTTAAGTATCATATGGAGATCGTCCGGGTGCCCATTGCAGAAAACAAGCTGGTTAACCCCCAAAATGTGTAAGACTAGGCAATTTTTTTCTGTGCTCAGAGGAGCAAAGAAAAAGGTTTAAGATAGGGCACCAGTTCAGTTCTTACATTAATACTGAGAGCTAGGCACTCAAAATTGCTGAGACATAGAGAAGCTGAATTCTGATGAGTCCTTGCTTTGTTCACCTTTGATTTTGTAGCGCATATGAAACATATGCTGGTCTTGTAATAGTCCTGAGATTTATACTTCTTTTGACTCTATTAAATGAAAAGCTACTATACCAGTAGATGGTTGTCAGATGTAACCTTCAGCTATGAGAGCAAAAACACACCTGGCGTCCTTTTTTGTAGTATGCATTATCTGATTCTGCGTGCATGCTACCTTTAAATCAAGGTTTTGGCAAAGTTATAGCTGCAACTAGTGTGGCAGTGGGATAGGCAAAGAGAACCTTCCCAATATTGGTCAGTAAAGAGATCTTTGTGTTGAAATAGTGCTCCTTTTTTGAATAAGCTGAACTTTCATGCACAGGGAGGAAGACAGAAGATGACATTTGCAAGGCAAGGAGTTGAAGGTAGCTAGGAGCATGACACCAAATTATCCATGGGAAGAGAGAATTGGACGGCTGATGTTGCTATTAGTTGTCATTGCTGAAAGCTCCCATCTGAAAAGACAACAGATCAGATTTATTTTATTTCATTTATATAAGATTTATAGAGCCCTTCCCACCCCATTTTCTGAAGAATTTCTCTGGGTGCTCATGTGCAATAGCAAATCAATAAAAACCAAATAAAAAAGTAACCCCTGACTCCTTCAAACACAACACTGTGCATATACTGTTTTGAGGAAAAAAATCTAGACACTTACTGGGCTCCAATCTCATATAACCCAAAGGCTGGTAGGAAAAGCCAGAACTTGATGGCTTTTTTGAAAATCAAAAAAAGTAGAGGTCTGCCTGATTTCAGAGGAAAGGGTATTCCAAAGGGCAGGACTATTACTCAGACACTAACTAGGTTTTACTAGATGGCAACATTTAAGGGAAGGGACCTGAGTGGGCCACTCTATCAAACCTGGTGGAATGGGCAGATACACTCAGGAAGAAGCAGTCCCTCAATTAACCTGGTCCTGCGTCATTCAGAATTTTAAAGGTGATTAGACAACCTATGTCCAATTGGATTATCTTTTCAGAGATAATTTCTTACCCAGATTCTTCAATGTCTTCAACAATAACAGAGCTTCTAGAATACTGCCTTCACTGGAAAATCAGATACATTCTGAGATGTATCTGCCTTGAAAATAGCTCATGTTGAACTGTATAGCACAGTCAAAAAATCAGCATAGGAAATGTTTTATAACATTTTATGTTTATGTTATAAAATGTTTTATAAAGTTGACCAAATTTCAATTCCCTAGGAGTTATAGGTCTTGGATTTTGCGCATATTTTGTAGGTTAGCCCATGTGAGGTACCTTGGTTCAAAACATTTTGCACTGTTTCACCCAGTTGAAGATTACAGGAATCAGATTTTTAGAAGCATATAGATTAGGTGTCAACTGGCGGCTCATAGGCCAGATGCATCACGCGCAGACCAAGGCCACCCCAGCTCCACAAAGGTAAAAAAAGTTGTGATATGTCACAATATGTCACGTGACACAATCGAGTTTGACACCCATGATATAGACAATCAGTACCTTTTTTTTTTTATAAACAAATTTTATTCAGTTTTTCACATAAAAACAAAAATCTCCTTTTAGTGGACAACATATTTCTGGGTCATCATTTTTACAGACAAATATGACAGCAATTATACATTCATATATGCATACTTAATTCTATTATTACCTTTTCCATTCCAAATTTTCAGTAAGGAGAGAAACAAACACATTAATTCTAGCCTCTTTCATTAATCTCAATCAAAACATCTTTTTGTTTCATTTTAATTATTTCAAATATAATCTTTTAATATTTATTTTAAAAATAAAGATAAACAATATGTGTTTGCCTAATAATAATAATAATAATAATAAAGGTTACCAATGTCTCTCCTTACTTTTAATAGTCTATATTAACTTATTAATTTAATTGGTTCTTTAGTCTGTCTTATTCCCTTTCCATTACACATTCTTTTTATAAATTCTAGATTAATACAAGTTTTAACACTAAAGGAAAAAAAAACAAGTATAGATTTCCCCCCTTTTACTGCTTTGAGTGTGACATCTCAATGATTAGAATATACCTTTATTCCCTCATCTTGATTCCTAATAAACCATTATTTTTAAGAAGTTACAATAATAATCATTACATCTTTTCATTTGGATTCCGCAGCATATTTTCTCCCCTTAATTTTTAATAAGAGTTATCAGTATCTATATTACCCTATTTTCTAAATAATTTTAATTGCAGAGATATTTTTATTAACCCTTGTCACCCTGCAGAATCCCCTTTTTAATTCATCAACCATTATCTCTGAAAAAAAAAATTTCTTTTCAACATTTTACTATTTCCGTATTTCTTTATTTCATGCACCTGTTTCTTACTGCTTCTCCTCCCCCTCTTTTCCCCATATCTTTTCTCATTCCAGTTTATATGCCTCTCTTTCTTAATATCTTCCTTTCTCCTTTTCTGCTGGGTCTTTCTGCCTTTCCCGACTTCACAACTTTTCGCCCTTTTGATTGCCTTCTTAAATCTCAATTTTTTAACCTTCCTTCTTTCCCCACTTCTTTGTAGCGTTCTTTGTGTTAATTGTCTATTTAAAATGTCTTCTCCTTGAATCGACTCCTCCTCTGAAGCTCTTTCTTCTTGTTCTTCAATCACCATTTCCATTTTTTCTAACACAGAGCAAAGTGATTCGCCTCTTTCCTGTAGTAATTCTCTCATATTTTTAAGTTCCGTTTTTAATTCCCGAAGAGATATCATCATTACACACTCTTGTATTTTATGATTGTTAAAGTCCACAAAAAACACTTTTACTTTCCTTCTTTCTTCTTTCAATTTTCTAAAGTTCTCAATTATTCCAGCCCAGGCAGAGTCTATACCAAAAACATCAATCAATCCCACAGTCAGTCTTTCCTTGCTTTTTTCTTTATTCTGGTTCTGCTTTCACTTTCTAAGATTCTTACTTTGTTTCAATATTTCTTTAACGTTATATCCACACAAGTTCATTCAGAAATAGGATGCTTTCCCTTTTGTTTGAGCTCAAGTTTATGTCAAAAGGTGGCACTCTCCATTATACAAAGTCTTCACCTTTTTCCCCTATTTTTTTATTTAGGGTTTTTCGAACCTCAATATTCCAGCACAGTCCAGTCTCCAATTTGTAAACTTTATTATTATTATTATTTGACAATCTTAAGTCCAGCTTTGTTTTATGCCTGTTTATTGCCAAAATATTTTAGTCCAATTTAGTTAAATCTTTAGTTCTGGCTTCTTCCTTTCCTGGTTCGAAGCTCTGCTTAGCTGTCAAAAATATTTTCTTATTTTTTTTCCTGTCCCTTTGTAATTTTGCCGCTCACTTTTCTTTTCTTAAAAATTCCATGTTACTTTAATCCTGGGGTACTTTTGTTTAGTTGTATCGCCCAGTTGTCCCGGTTCAGATGTTATCCACCTCTTTCTTCCCTCCTACACAAATCTTAGTCCAGCTGAGTCCTCCTCTTCCGGGTGGCCATTTTAAACCACCGCTGCAGCCGTCTTCAGGAGGAAAAAGACCAAGCCCAGGAGGGGAGATGCGGCTCCCCTCAACCTGGCTTGCAGCTTCCCCTTACTCCACTGCCCTTCCAAGGCAGCTTCAGCCCCTAATCGTGATGATCGGGACTCTCCAACGAAAGAGCACGGACCATAGCCGCAGAGTCGCGATCTACGGTCTATCAGCGAGGAGGCTCAACCCAGAAGTCGATATAGACTATCAGTACTTTGAATCGTACCTGGGGAAAAACTGGAAGCCATCACAGCTCCCACAACACCATGACTTAGGCACAAGCATAGTACAGTAGAGCAACAGGCAAGATTTTCCAACAATCACTGAATAATGGAGAAATGACAATACTAAAAACATCCATGCTCATTCCACAGAGATCTGTTATAAACCACAATGGCAAAAAAGTGATGAGATGTGTCAAGATGCAAACCACTGTTGGAAGTACCGTATTTTTCGGTGTATAAGATGCACTTCCCACCCCCAAAAGTGGGTGGAAATGTCTGTGCGTCTTATACAGTGAATGTTGCTGAAGCCCCGCCAACCCGTCGCCCCTCACCTTTCAGCCTCTGCCTCCCAGCAATTTGCCTTCTTGCAGCAAACAGCAAACAGCCTGGTCAGTTTCAGCACAGCCTGATTAGCACAAGCAGCTGACTGTTGGTTGGATCGGCCCCCTGAAAATCAGCTGTTTCAGGCTTCAGGGATTGCTATCACCTATTGCCGCCTCCGCACACCCCATTTTCAGCCTTCGCACGCCCCATTTTCAGCCTCCGCGCATCCTGTTTTCCTCCCGTTCTGATCCCCACCACCCGGAATGGGCCAAAAATGGGGCATGTGGAGACCCGAAAAAGGGATGCGGAGGCCGAAAATGAAACGCACAGAGGCAGCAATAGGTGATGGCAATTCTTGCAGCCTGAAACAACTGATTGTGGGGAGGCCGAACCAACTGACAATCAGCTGCTTGTGCTAATCAGGTTGTGTTGAAGCTGACCAGGCTGTTTGCTGTTTGCTGCAAGGAGGCAAATTACTGGGAGGCAGAGGCAGATTTTTTTTTCTCATTTTCCTCCCCAAAAGCTAGGTGCATCTTATACTTTGGAGCATCTTATGCTCCGAAAAAAACGATAAGTGTATAAGCTATGGAATTTTTTTTCATAAAGTTACAGTGAAAGCCAACTACTCCCCACTTTCATAAATGTCTGCGGGCAGAGTGCATAAGTTGCAACGTGTGTGCCTTATATGTGAAGTCTCAAATTGGATTTGTCAGAACATCAGTAGAGTTTCTTTCAGTGAGTACACAGTACTATTATAAGGCAGCTGCTTACACTGCTAAGTCTCTGTGATCAGAGATACTAAACATATCTTCATAAGGACAAATATTTTACCTTATATCATGAGGGAGGCAAGACTGGTCCAGATTGTACTGGATCACTGCCAGTTTACACAGCGTTTTTAAGCTGGGACCTGAAAAAAGAGTAATACATAGTACATGATATCTAATAAAGGAAAAACTAAAACACTACAACAGATAGCTTTTTCACTGAGCCAGCTCTACCCCAGATATGTTTTTAAAACAAGAGGTTTGAACAAGGTAAAGTAATTAATGACGAAAAAATATTCACATACTGAAGTCTAAGATGTACAGGTCTGAGTGATCCATCAGGTCAAATTCATCTCCCATGCCTTCTTCTGGAGATGGGCTGTAGAAATAAAAAAAGAATCTTGTCAATCACTGAAAAGGTTTTGTTAATGGTGACATAAAAATCTATTTTAAGCTAGTGCTTTTATTAAGACAACCAGAATCTTTAAATAATTGTAAGATTCTGATTTCCTAAGGAGTCATTACCAGAACTGTTAAAAATTCAAAGAAAAACAAAGGTGGAATAGGAAAATCCTACTAATCAAGCCACAGTATCAAATGTGATATTGGAGAATTTCCAAACAGAGAAAAGCAATTTTGAAAAGAATTTACCTGGGTTTTATATCTAAAAAAAATTCCTAAATGTGAAATAGTTACTGGGGCCTTCACCACTTTAGCTAACCACATAACATTGCCTTCCTCACACCTCCTGCTTCTTCTGCAAGTCTGGCATTTGTGCCTCATGCTTTTTTCCTAAACACTAAACATTGAGGCTGCACAACTGCAGAATCCTGGAGGAAAAGGGAATTGCTTTAAAATATTGCAGACAGATGGTATGTTGTCCTTCTGCATACTCTGAAGTACCTTTTGAAGACTGAATCTGAAGCACTGCATGGCCCAAGTAGATGCACTTTATTCACCGCCATGTGCCTACCGTCTGCCATGTCCCATACTTAACAACAGCATTTTGGACAGCTATCAAGCAATATGGTGTTCCCTCCCATACAGGCAGAACTTTCCCTGAAAAGCCTTTGTTCACACCATTTATGTGAACTTTCCATTGATATCTATTCTATCCTAGCTTTAGAGATAGATTTGAATTCTTCTATTCTTTGTTAATATTACTAGACTTAATTGTAATATTAAGGCGAAAGGTTTGTCTTAAATATCCAATTTAAGAATGATTATTAGGTAATACTTTTTCATAAGTTTCTAAATGGACACAAAATACCCAGAATAAGCAAGGGCAAAGGGTCCAGCAACCAGAGTTTAAGAGAGAAGAAGCATAAGCAATGTCAGAAAAAGGAAATGTATACTTGATCTGTCTACAGAATCACTTACACTGTTACTTTGATTTCTCCAGCCTCTCCTGCTACCCTAGCAAACAAACAAAGCTTTCGTCACTGCCCCCACAACAGGCAGGACCGGATGTTCTGGCACCATCTGGAGATTTCATTATCACAGAAGGTCATAGAGACTCCTAACAGGCTACCCACTTGGGGGTGGGGTGGGGAGGTGGAATCATATTAGATTACTCCCAGGCATCAGGAACCTCTACTTTCTTCTCTGAAGTTGAAATCATTCGTTCATGTAGTGTTTCTTTTAAAAATTCAAATAAGATCTAAAGCAAGAGACTTTAATATGTAAGGCACACATTTTAAAATATATTTATTTTTAAGAGTTAAGTAATTAAGAAAACAGGACTGCAGGGCAAAAAAAAATTTGTTGTTGTTGTTGCTCTGCACTAAGCTCAAGGTACATGAACAGCCAGTCTGAATTAAATTATAGTTAATCAACTTTAAGGCTTTTAGGAAAAAATACACATTTGATGTTAAGTAACTATGGTATATGGAAATGTATTTTGTGAAACTCTCCTTTGAAGCATTAATATTTGGCATATCTTATACTATATGTACCAGATATGAAAGGTTATATGAACTTTGGAAAGGAATTATTCCTTCAGTCTTGAAAGAGGCTGTGGTATGTCCCCATCCCTTAAGAGTCTCTTTCTGGATCCAGTTGACTTTAGTAAATATCATTCTGTCTCCAACCTTTTCTCAAATATTGCTAAGCATCTGGTAGGGATTCAGCCACAAAATACCCTATGAAGTAGATTATCTAGATAATGTTCAGTCTAGTTTCAAGCCTGGGCATAGGCCCAAGACCGAGTTGCTTTACTTGGTAATCTTTGCTAGAGATAGAATACCCTTCCTGGTTAGCAGCCTTTGATATCATTGGCCATGGTATCTTTCTACATTGCCTACACAAAATTTAGAGATCAAAAGCAGTGTTTTAGAATGGTTCTGCTCCTTCCTCAATATGTGGTTCCAGCGGGATGGTGCTGTTTTATGGGATGCCATAGGGATTGGTGTCATAGGTATGCTGATACTCAATTATACATTATCATTCCTGGCCTGATGTAGATAGTAATGAAGATGAACTTGAAGGGATATGCATATACAAGCTCCACTGCCCAAGTGATAAGGGGTAAAGAAACTTCCCTAATTGGGCAAAGTACAGCTCAATAAGACTTGTAGAATTCTGTTTGTTTATATCCCGCCTTTATTATTTTTTACAAATAACTCAAGGCAGCTAACATATCTGATGCATCTTATCACACACACACACACACACACACACACACACACACACACTATAGCCCTGTTGGGTGGGTTGGGCTGAGACAGTGTGACTGGTCCAAAGTCACCCAGCTGGCTTTCAGGACTAAGGCAGGACTTGAATCTAGGGTCTCCGGCTTTCTAGCCTGGTGCCTTAATCACTGGACCAAATTGGCTCTGTCTCAATAAAAGTAGTTTTAATGTTTCTGTGGTTGAACTGCTCTACCTAGAGGAGCTGACACATGGCTAGATTGTGCTGTAAGTCTAGATAAATGAAAACGATGTAGCCTTTTATAACCTTCAGAGTAACAACAGCAATTACTTAGTGTATAATGTGATTTGCTTACTAGACAACTCATTACCCCTTGGGTCATCCTTTTAGAGATGTTCCTTCATTACCAGTTTCCTCAAAGCTTTGAACAATAACAGAAGTCTTAATGTACTGCCTTCACTGGAAAGGATGTATCTGCCTATGTAGCAGAGTCAAACACGTGCAGGAAAAATTTTTATGACGTTTTGAATTATGTCAAACTATTATGATAATGTTTATGACATAAAATGTTTTTAAAAATTTGCCAAATTTCATTCCAAAGGAGTCCTGGGACATGAATGTTGGAGGCATTTTGCAATTGTACGTAGGTTCAAAAGGGTTTGTCCCGTCATGCACTGTTTCACTCAGTTAAAGATTACAGGAACCAAGAGTTTTAGTAGAATATAGATAGAACCTTGTAGAGTTTCTGGTTAAGAAGTCCAACTACAGTAGCCCAATGACTAGATTTGGCTCCTAAACAATTTTATTTTGTAGTTGGCATACAAAATTTTAATCAAGGCAAAGTGAAAAGGTCTTCCTTGCTTTCCTGAAAGTAAAATGTTTCAAGCTGTGTATAATGTTGAGCAAAAGAGAGCAAATGTACACTTTCATCTTACATCTTGAAAGGATAAGAACACTGATAAGATAGATGGATGGAATCAAAAGTATCACTGGAATGTCCCTGAAGTAATAGTGAGGTGTTGCCAAGGTCCAATTGAGATTGATAATATTGGTCCTCACAGGAATTGAATCAGTCTGACTCAATAGCAGCTAACATCCTCATTATTCCAATGCAAACATATTCTGATTTATTAAAATTATTATTACTGTGTTTCTCCAACAATACACCCCCCCCCCAATAAGAAGACCCAGCATGTTTTCTAGGCATAAAATGAAATTAAGCCTCTCCCCCCAAATTTAGGCCTAGTTTAAAACATGCGAAATTGGGGGGGGAGGCGGGGGGGAACTTGCCATTAGGAGTGCCCCGCGGGCAGCTATGCCTCACCATCAGCCGCTCCTAACACCATGGTGGAGCACGGAGAGCTCCCTTACCCCTCCCTTACTCGGGTTAGCAGGCGGGCGGCGGCGGCATGGATGTTCGGCAGCGTTTCAGCCGCTTCTCAGGCCTCCATAGCTTCCACGGTTCCAACCGGTGCTGGCGCCTCTCGCCAGCGTTGTCTCCAACAACAGCGTCTGAGTCGCTCCTGCTTTTCCCCCGTCCCCATAACAACAGGGAAAAAAAACATTTTGAGGTACCTGGGAGCGCCACACGCTGCGTTTTGGTTTAATCCCGAGTGGCTGGGTGGGTGTGAGAAGAGCTGAGCGAGTGTCTCTGCTGCTGCTACCCTTGGTGCTCCAGCCTCGGGCTCTGCAAGTTTGCAAAAGTCCAGGTGTGCAGCCCGTTCCTGCATTCCAAGCGCCCAGGCCGAGCTGCAGCTGTCCCTCTCTCGCCAGCGCTGTCTCCAATAACAGCAGCAGCAGCGGCAGGAACTATGGAAGCATTTCAGCCGCTTCTTGGGTGGGGGAGCCACCTCCGTAACGTCTACGGTTCCCCCCACTGCTGCCGCTGTTGTTAGAGACAGCGCTGGTGAGAGAGGGACAGCTGTAGCTCAGCCTGGGCGCTTGGAATGCAGGAACGGGCTGCGTACCGGGACTTTTGCAAACTTGCAGAGCCCGAGGCTGGAGCACCAAAGGTAGCAACAGCAGAGACTCACTCAGCTCTTCTCATACCCACCCAGCCACTCGGGATTAAACCAAAACGCAGTGCGCGGCGCTCCCAGGTACCTCAAAATCATTTTTTTCCTATTGTTACGGGGACGGGGGAAAAGCAGGAGCGACTCAGGAGCTGTTGTTGGAGACGGCGCTGGTGTACAGGTGGGGGGAGAAATTAATTCACCCCTGAAAAGACGTCCTAGCCGTTTTTTCGGGGCTCAAAGAAAAAATAAGGCCCGGCCTTATTTTGTGAGAAACATGGTATTATTAAAATTTATTGGCTGTCCTTCAATGTATTTGTTTAAATAAAATTTAAAAACATCATTAAATGTATAATCAACAATATAAGACGGCACCAACCTTTCTAAAAATTTTCACACATGAGAAATTTTGAAAGTGTTGTAGAAACTAGTCACTAAATAGTGGCTGTGTGGAAATGGCATATTTCAAAATAGCTTCTAAATAAAAAAATAAGATGAAAGCACAAGATCTCATCTATCCTTGCAAAGAAGACAGAGACCTCTTAATCCAGTACTACTCATGTCATCAAATAAGTGAATGAAACTTAACACAACACTACACCTCACACAGAGTAAGAAAGAAGGATCACTTTATCCATTGCTGCCATTTTTTTCTAACATATGGGTAAAACAATTATTTTGTTTGTTTGGTCCTATTTAGAGCCATGCTCTGCTATAT